GTTTCTATGCAATCCTTTTTAACTCAAAATCGATGTACGATAAGAAAAATAAATTTTATTAAGTAATTTGTATTTTGAATTAAACTATTTAAATTAATTTTTATGAATTTTATTAGGTAATTTGTAATTTGAATTAAACTTTTTAAATAATTTTTTGGCAATTTTTTATTATTTAAAAACTCTTTTTTTATATTATTAATACTAAAATTCTTCAAGGCCGACCCAAAAAAATTTAACACTACACTTGATCTTAACCAAAAAGCTGAGAAAGCTTAGCCAAAAGACCAACCCAACAAAATTTAGTACTACACTTGATCTTAGCTAAAAGGCTGATCAAAAAAATTTAATACTATACTTGATCTTAGCCGAAAGGCGGAGAAAGGTTAGCCAAAAAGCCGAAGAAGGTATAATTAATATTTCTTTAGGTTTATAGTTTTATAAGAGGATTCCATGTAATCCTTTTTAACTCAACACCAATGTGGGACAAGAAATATGAATTTTATTAGGTAATTTGTAATTTGAATTAAACTCTTTAAATTATTTTTTGTAAATTTTATTAGGTAATTTATAAATTGAATTAAACTCCTTAAAAAAAAATTTAGGTAATTTTTTTGTTTATAAAAACTCTTTTTTATATTAATAAATAAATATAAAAACTCTTTTTTATATTAATAAATAAATACTGAAAGACTGAAACTCTTTATAGTTTAGGTAATTTGTAATTTGAATTAAACTCTTTAAATAAATTTTTATAAATTTTATTAGGTAATTTGTAATTTGAATTAAAAAAGAATTAGTACTACAATTGACCTTAGCCAAAAGGACGAGAAAAGTTAACTAAAAGGCCGAGAAATATATGATTAATATTTCTTTAGATCTATAGTTTTATAAGAGGATTGCATGTAATCTTTTTTAACTCAAAACCGATGTGGGATAAGGAAAATAAATTTTATTAGGTAATTTATAATTTGAATTAAACTCTTTAAATTAATTTTTATAAATTTTATTAGATAATTTGTAATTTGAATTAAACACTTTAAATAATTTTTAGAGGCTTCCATGCAATCCTTTTAAACTCAAAACCGATGTGGGACAAGAAAATGAATTTTATTAGGTAATTTGTAATTTGAATTAAACTCTTTAAATTAATTTTTATGAATTTTATTAGGTAATTTGTAATTTAAATTAAAATCTTTAAATAATTTTTAGGTGATTTTTTTTTTAATAAAAACTCTTTTTTATATTAATAAATAAATACTGAAACTCTTAAAGGCCGACCCAACTAAATTTAGTACCGCACTTGATCTTAGCATTTAAATTTAGTATTATACTTAATCTTAGCCAAAAGGGCGAGAAATGTTAGCCAAAAAGCCGACTCAAAAACATTTAGTACTACATTTGATCTTAACTTTTAAATTTAGTATTACACTTGATCTTAGCCAAAAATGCTGAGAAAGGTTAGTTAAAAGGCCGATTCAAAAAAATTTAATACTACACTTGATCTTAGTCGAAAGGTCAAGAAAGGTTAGGCGAAAGGCCAAGAAAGATGTAATTAATATTTCTTTAGGTTTATAGTTTTATAAGAGGCTTCCATGTAATCATTTTTAACTTAAAACCAATGTGGAACAAGAAAAATAAATTTTTTTAGGTAAATTGTAATTTGAATTAAATTCTTTAAATTAATTTTTATAAATTTTATTAAGTAATTTGTAATTTGAATTAAACTCTTTAAATTAACTTTTAGGTAATTTTTTAGAGGCTTCTATGCAATTGTTTTTAACTCAAAACCGATGTGGGATAAGAAAATGAATTTTATTAGGTAATTTGTAATTTAAATTAAATTCTTTAAATTAATTTTTATGAATTTTATTAGGTAATTTATAATTTGAATTAAACTCTTTAAATAATTTTTAGTTGTTGTTTTTTTTTTTTTTTTAAATAAAAAAATAAATAATGAAATACTGAAACTCTAGAGTCAGTGGCATTGATTTAGTGTGTGGAGGTGACATCATAATGATGTCATTAAATATGATAATATAATCGTGAATTCATGATGTCATTTTTTTCGCATATAAATTTAGTCGGAGTTGAACTCTCTATCATTACACTATAGTTAATTACTAATAACTTGTTTCAAATTCAATTTATTAGGTTATTAAACAATCTACCGATATGCCAACCAGCATGGTCATACAAGCATTTCACAAGGGTACTAATCTCTTGCTTCTTATGGAGTAAGAAAATTCTTCCGCACTTTTTATAGTGATTTAATCTAATGGTCACATTCTAAACCCACCTATAGCTTTCCTTGTAATACAAAACCACTATCACTATATTTCTAGTTTTCAAATTTAATATTTACCAATACAATTAATTATAACAATAAAAGGTAAATACTAAAAAAACAAAAATAGAAATCTATTCACCTCTTGAAATCACGTCTCACTATTAATTGAAAAAAAATTTCTATAAAAAAAATTTATAAGTGTTAGAAAATTACATCCATGACTTGATACTAAAGTTGACATTGTATATTTGAGTGTAAAAAAGAAATTAAAAATTATACTATTAACATACAAAACAATGAAACGTCGACTAAAAAATAATAAAAAATTAAAAATAAAATCTACTTGATGAACTTAATGTAATCTGTGATTTGCACTACACTTCACTCATAAAAAAAATTAATAGATTACAATTTAAATTATTGTATACATCCCTAAATGCATGTTATTTAAAAATTAGAAATTCAATCTATTTTTCTCTAACTCTTTGTCACAAATTCTAACTAGATGTAAATATATTCCAATTACTCATCTGTCGTAATAAATCGCACAATATATTTTTTTTAGTTCTACTATAATAACAAAATTTTATTGACGTAATGAGGAGATTCACAACAAAACATGCTATAATTCTATGAAATTTAAGATTTCCTTTGTAAATTAGTTGTTTTTCTTAATATTTTCTTTAATACTGCTATTATTATACTATCATTATTTTTATTTTTTTTAGTACTTACCTTTTATTGTTATAATTAATTGTATGGGCAAATATTAAATTTGGAAACTAGAAATAATGATAGTGGTTTTATATTAATCTAATGGTCGCTATAGAATGTGCGGAAGAATTTTCTTACTCCATAGAGAGTAAGGGATTACTACTCTATTTCACAATTCACCTATTATGTGGTTCTTACGAGTAAATATTGATTGCGCCAGCCATACCAAGTTAAGTCATTGGTATGCCCGATCAATGATGTAACATTTAAAAAAAAAAAAAAAAAGTCCACCTACTTGTAAATTTAATAATAACAAAATAATATATTATATTTGATTGGATAAGTTCACTAATGACTTGACATGCCTAGCGCACCCACCATCTATTGGGCTGGAACGCCTAAGTGGACGAATGACATTCGATGGGTTAAAGATAGTGGTGGCAAATGGGCAGGTTAGGTTGAAAATGAGCGGGTCAATATGGGTCAAAACCCATATTTAATCTGTTCGGAATGGGTTAAAAATGGGCAGGGTCAACCCGTTATGATCCGTGAACCCATTAATTATTATTTTTTATTTTTAAAATTATTTTTAAATTATTTTTAAATTTAATTTTAAAAAAAAAATTATTTTTAAGGGGACTAACAACCATGATAGTTTTTATTTATTTTTAAAATTTTTAAAAATAAATAATCACTTTTAATTATTTTTTAATTTTTAGATTCTTGAACAGATGATAGTGGAACAAACAGTGATGAATACAACCAAGGAATATAAAACTTTGGCTGCAAACCAAAATGGATGGATAAAACTTTATATTTAAAACAGAAAATTTCAATTCATATGTGGCAGTGAAATAAATGAAGAGAGTGAAAACTAAAACCAGATGGTTAAATTAAAAAATCTACATACAGTGTTGGAGAAATACAACAACGTATTCAGAAATAATGAAGGATCAAGGTTCAGTTATATTTCTTTTATAAGATAGAATACACTGTTGCAACATGATTAGAAAAGTTTAATTTCCGAAAAGAAAAAAGAAAGAAAGAAAAGAAACATGACTGGAAAAGTAAAAATAATATGAACAAAAAGAAAAACAAAATGGAGAACAGGTGACCACATCCATAACCAACCCTGCTTGGCACAAATTATCGCAATAGCTCAAGACCACATGGTTTCAGTTTCCCCTTAAACTTCTTAATTTTTTTTTTAATTTATTATTTAATTTTAGTCAATTTATTTTTAAAATTTTTTAATTATTTTTTAATTTTTTCAGAAGGTTTTAATTTTTAAATTATTATTTATTTTTTTTTTTTTAGAAAAAATTTTTAGAGAGAGAAACTTAGAGAGAGAGGATTATGCGTGAGAGAATTTTAGAGAGAGAAATGAGTTAAATAGATTTGTGTTGTGTATTTATTATATGATAGGTAAAATATGGATTGAATATGGTTTCATCTATTTAATTCATTTTTACCCTCAAATTAAGTGGTTAAAAATTATTCAATTTATTTTAATTTTCAAATTAAATACGATTCATTCATCATCATTAAAAAAAATATAAATGAGTTGATAATTTCCGATTCATTTTACCATCCCTTTCATTAAAGAGGACAATTGTTGGGTTAGATTTGGAAGGTCTATCGTATAGGGCTAGGATTGGGACTGGAGGCGATAGGCTAAATCCAAACCCAATGGTAGCATGAAAAAAGGATTGCCCAAGTCTACGTTGGACTTGGATTCAACCTCCAACGACTGATATATATACATATATATATATATATATATATATATATAAAGACTGTTGGGACGTGTCGATCTGCAGGATACGTGTCAAGCAACGAGGACTAAACTTTTGGTTCGGAGCATGACCAGGATTAGCTCTATTTATCCGGACAAAGTTGCTGAGTATTAGAGTATAGCTCTATCAACAGACAACCCCATAAATCTCTCTCTCATCTATATATATATACAGGCAAGAAGAGACTTCCGTAGCTCAAGAATATGCTCAACGCCTTCAAATCGGTTAGAAGCCAAAAACTACCCACTTTGATCTCATCACCACCTTTTCCTTCTCAAATCGGTCGGAGAATTTCTGGTACTGTCAGTTTCCGACAGGCGGCAGCTAATCAACCGGAGAACCTTGACAATATGGCAGCTGAACAGACCAAGATTAACCCCAACTCCAAAACCGGGTTCGTTTTTATCATTGTTTCATATGTAATATTATTATAAATGTATCTGGATCTATATACACACATAAGTAGGTATATATTTGGAATTGATCGTTGTGTATATTGTATTGTATTGTATGTTGTCGGTGTGAGAAGGGACATGATGTCTGATTCATTTGGGGAGGGGTATTCGACGAGGTCAGATGAAGAAGGGTTTGGAGGAATTTACGGAAGCAGGAACCAGTCTCTTACTGAGGAGGATAAGAATACCATCCAACAGAATCAACCTGGTAAATTCCTAGCATTTTCGTACTTTTCTCTTGTGTTTTGTGTAACTGTGTGTTTTGTGTAATTGTGTGTGTTGTGTGTGTATATATATCCATTGTCCAAGTCCTATCTCGTTTATATATGTGTGTATTAATTTGAATGTGGATTTAATATTGATGCATGAAGCATACGACAAGAGCCAAGGAAGCCATGTGCAGGAGAAGGAAAAGGCACGACACCAGCAGAGTGCAGATTCATGAGATAGCTAATTACTTTTTCCTTTCATCTCGATGTTCCGAAACAGTTTTTATTTTTTTTACTTTGCTTTCAAACATTTGTTGGGAAATTGTTGGGTTTTCTTGTTTTGCAATGATCAATAATAATACCTACTTGTTTTTACGCGCTTGAACACCTGATGTTTTAGCGGTACAAGTTTTTTTTTTTTTTAATTTTTATTATTCTGACAAATAATACAATTAGACTCGAATCCTTCATTAATAATAATATTCTGACAAATAATACAATTACTTATTCTATGGGGACTTGAATGTGATTGTTGTGTGTGGGATTTTCATAATTCAAAAAATGAGCACTAGCACACCACCCAAAAATAATTAAATATAGAGAGTTGGCCGAAATGAGAATGTACTACGTACTTTCCGAGTGATTTCTTTAATTCTTTATTTAATTTTCGGAAGTTAGTGATCTCTATAATTGAACTGACTGATTGAAAATATTTTATTTTATTTTGACATGACCGGTATCTGATTCAGGTGAGCATTTGTTAAATGGTACAAAGTTTGGTCGCAGAGAATTAAAACAGATGTGTGAGATCCAAATGGGTTCCACTTAATTTTTATTTTTCTTTAATAAATAAATAAAATTACTACTGTAGTATTTCTGGAATTTCATTTATAAGTTCAATCATTTCTAGCTTCAAATATCTCAAGTTCAATACATTATTCGATTACAAAAGCTAGCAATTTATAGAAAATACCATCATTGAATTCTTAGTGGGAAAAGGTAGATGAACAGAACTGAAATTGGATCTTTCAGCACAGTGTTTCATTGTGAATGAGAACAATGCCCTTTTTAAAGCAAGCACAATGTTTTGCTAGCCTGTTTGGTGTTTGTTCTACCATGTTCTGTATCGTTCTCTGTAGTGTTATAGTACTTATTTTCAGAACACATGTTGTTTGGCCTGTCTTGTTGTGTTCTCAATAGTAGTGGAACACTTTCAGAACAAATCCAATATTTGGCCCAAAAGTTGAAACAGTAATTTGGTGTTCTATGTTGTTCCAGGGCTATTTTTTTTACTGTAGCGAAGATAATAATAATTTTTTTTAAAGCAAATCATTTGAGCCTCCCAATCGCCTCCGTCTCTATTCTCATTCTCAACTCTGGAACTTGCTCCCCCCCTCTCTCTCTCCAACTGCAAACACAAAATCTACAAGGATCAAAAGTTCAAAACCCACCTCCATCTGTATTCTCGTTCTCAACTCTGGAACCTTGCCCCCCCCTCTCTCTCTCTTTGCAATTGCAAACTACAAAATCTACAAGAATCAGAAGTTCAAAATGAACAAAATCTTCAGATCTGTGAAGTTGAAAACCCATATCGGTATATCATTTTAGATTGTTCAAAAAATCACAACCCATATCTTTCAGTTTCCATCGCCCGTTGTTCCAACTTCGATTTGCCGTTCGCAATCTTTGTAATTCTTGTTTGTATGGGTTTTGATTGTGTGTATGGGTTTTGTTTTAATTTTTTTTTCAGATTGTGTGTATGGGTCCGCTACTCCAGTTCTGGTTCGCCGTTCGCAAGCTTTATAATTCTTGTTTGTATGGGTTTTGTTTGTGTGTATGGGTTTTGTTTTAATTTTTTTTAGGGCAAATCATTTCAGCCTCCCAGACGCCTCCATCTCTATTCTCGCTCTTTCTCTCTCTCTCTCTGCAACTGCAAATTTGTATGGGTTTTGTTTTAATTTTTTTTAGGCAAATCATTTCAGCCTCCTAAACGCCTCCATCTCTATTCTCGTTCTCAACTCTGCTAATCCATTTTTAGGGCAAATCATTTCAGCCTCCCAATTACCCTAGTCTCTCTCTCTCTCTCTCTCTCTCTCTCTCTCTGCAATTGCAATTGCAATTCTGTGTGTATGGGTTTTGTTTTAATTTTTTTTCTAAATCAACTAATCAAGCTCTGTAATTCTTGTTTTGCAAACTAATCAAGCTCTATAATTAATTTATTTTAATCATAAAAAAAAATAATAATAATTTCTATTTCAAAATTTTCACTCTAAATTTTCATCCCAAATATATTTTATTCTCATTTCAGAACACTACATTACAAAACACTTTGTTTTGTTCTAAACTAGAGCAATACATTACACTACACTATACAACACTTCCCAAACATGACCTTAAAAAATCCAAAACAGTTTGTGGTGGTGTTTTGGGAATGCAACACTTCTTGATCTTAAATGTAACATCACTATTTTGACTTTTGAGAATGGTAAAAAATAAAAAATAAAAAATGTTATACATTAATTACACCTCAACTTTTTCTTCACATAATTCAAATATTAAGAAGGTGCTGGACGGAAGAGAGCACACAATTTTGATGGCAAATTACCTTTCAAAAAAAGATAATGTAAATAGTAAATTTCTATGATACTCTTTTTGAGTAAACTTCAAATTTTTTTACTCAACTTTTCCAATTTGATACATTATTTTCTTTCATTTTTATTTATTTATTATTATTACTAAAAAAAAATATTTTGGGCCGGGCTGAACGTATTAATCCTAAACCCAATACTAGCATGAGATAGGATATCCCAAGCCCTGCGATGAGCTTGGATTCAAATTGCAGCCTTACAAAATCATATAATATATACGCGTGTGTGTATATATGTATATAATATACACACACACCTGACTATGGGACGCGTCTGTCTGCATGATGCGGGTAATACGTGTCAAGCTACAAAGCACTAGACATTTGGTCACCAGCATGCATGATCAGATTAGTTCTAATTATTTCGGACAACGTTGGTGAGTGTGAAATAGTATAGCTCCATCAACATCTCTCTCATCTATATATACTATAGAGATAGAAGATGCTCAACGCCATCAAATCGGTTAGAAACCAACCACTACCCACTTTAATCTCATTACCTTTTCCATTTCGAACCGTTCGGAGAACTTCTGCTGTCAGTTTCCGTCAGGCAGCTTCAGGGCCTAATCAACCGTACAACATGGCCGAACAGACCCACAACCCCAACGCCAAAACCGGGTTCGTTTTTTCATTGTTTCATATCATGTGTTTGTGTGTACGTGAACTGTGGACTTGTATTTATAATATATATATATATATATACACACACACACACACTCACAAGCTAGTATTCTTTCATTTTTATGAATTGATTGAGCATTTGTACCGTGTCTTTTTTTTCTTGTTCTTTTTCAAAGTCCAAGTAAACCGTCCACACCCAATACTATCTTTAATAAGGCTCCAACACTAAACTTCTCTTTTCAGAATGGGAGATTATACCATCTGAATTAATTTTAGTTGGTTATTATATTGTATTAATTATGTGTTGTTTGAGAAGGGACGTGATGTATGATTCATTTGGGAAGGTCTATGCCACGAGAGCTGTTGAAGAAGGGTTTGGAGGAATTTACGGAGGGAACCAATCTATTTCAGCCGAGGAGGAAGATAAGATTACTATCCATGAGGAAGATAAGATTACTATCCAAAATCCGGTTCGTTTTTTCATTGTTTTATTTTTTATATATATATATATACACGTTTGTTTGTGGACCGTGGACACATATATAATTATACATACACAAGTATTTTTATTTTGCAAAAATTAGTCACATTTCCTAAGATTTAAGTTATTGCACTCAGTGATTAAGATTGAGCTTTATTACACCACCACCCCATGTTTGGCTTAACCCTATCCCGCCCGATAGAAAATTCGTCGTACTAATTCAACTCCTACTCTCATTATTACGACATACAAAAATATCAACTCTGTCCGTTTATTTCATTTAACTACGACGGGACTGGGTCGGGTTATATCACTTTTACTATTCCATATTTAAGTATAAAAAAACCTAGTCAAATGTGTTAGAATTTGGCTGATAAATAAGTTGGTTTAATTTTTAAATTATTAAATAATAAATATTATTAATATATTTATTGACACTTTCAACAAAATAATAAGGCCATGTATATATTATACCTTGTGGAAATCTTTGGGAGTGACGCACACCTGGAAAGTAGAAACAGTGGCCATGGATAAAGAGTAAAAGACAATCGGAGATCCGAAAATAAAAGTTACCAAATAAAATAATAAAAAAGATTCAAAGATGAAAAATGAGAGGCATTTGAACCGACATGACATTAACAGGAGGAGAGAGAACCGTACAGAAGATTTAGCTCCAAATATTATGCTCACTCACATTGTGGGGATTTAATATACAGTATATAACGCGGAATGAACTAGGAAGAGCCTGCAGTAAATTGGGGATTACAAAAGAGAGATCAATGTTTTGTTCAATTGCATGTATATAAAAGTGAAACTACATTTTTATTTTTATTCTCTTATAAAAAATTAGACATGCATCCTAAAATTTAAACCCTAATTTGAAGATGAAGTTGTCGCGAGTTATTCTTCTTAAAATTCTTTGAACCACGATCATTAGAACAAGGTTGTCTTCATCTTCTTTTAATTTCTAACCTCTCTCTGTTGAAGAACTTGAGAGATTCAACCAGGTTTTCAGGATTGAAAATCGGGTGAGAAAACTATAACAGTTACATTGGAAGAGATGATGACCTTTTTGTAATTGTACGTTACTTTACAAGGTTGAAGAGGTCTTTTAATTTAGCTATGGGCAGTACTGGTATTTTACATATATTAAGTACATGACATCAATCATTTTCATCATTGGTTAACGCGAGGGTCAAAAAGGGTGCTCAGTTTAACAATGTTTTGATTTTAGGGGTTGAGAATAATTTTAAAAATCATAGGGAAGTTTGTGTAATTGTGATAAATTTCAAGGGAGGTTAGTATAATTTATCCATAAATAAATGATAAATCGAGCTCTACCCATAAATTAATTGAGATTTGAGTTGGTTAAGATAAAAATAGAAGGATGAATATAAAGGAAAACGAACAAAAAAAAAAAAAAAAGCTAAGAAGAATTAATAATATTAACAAACAATCTAAATAAAATCAATTAAATGCTTACTAGG